GCTTGTTTACACTTAGCACGTCAAATAACTTCTATAAAATCAATGCAGCATAAAAACCAAGACAGTAGTGGGCAATGGGGGATGCTTTAAGGTAGATGGATCAAGTGGTGTTTTATTCTACCTGATACTCTCTTTTTATTCAAATAGTCTCGCTTGCACCATTTCAGTATTGCTCATGACCAGTATTTCGCATAGTTTTGAGATGCAAAAATCTGGACTACCTTAACACTTTTAGATTCCAAATAGTTATTACAGTTTACCCTTACCACAAAAAAAGGCAATGACACTACAGTGTCAGCAGAGGTAGCGTATGCCTGAATTTACATGGAATAACATGTACATATTTGAGATTCAAGGACAAATAACTTTAGTTGAATTTCTAATGAGTAGAAATTTTTATTATAGGCTCTCCAGGGTCCTGGCAGGTATTAAATTTATGGTGTAGTTAACTAATATGCAGCATCGATTTTTTTGTAGCTGGCTTGTACAGCTCATTTAATTGAACATGTGGTATGGCTGCTCTTGCTGGATCCGAAGACTCAGCTGTGCATCATCAGGCATGGGGCAGTCCCAGGGTCTGGGGCATAGCTGGCTCCTGTCTAATCAGTGGATTCAGGCTAAGGGTGGCCCTGGAACCCAGTGTGTCATGTCCCTTCCCCGTGGGACTCCCCCCAGTTCCTGAAAGTAAGTCAGGTTTGAGGTGCGGTGGGATGTGGAGAAGGACTGGACAGGACCACGAGCTAAACATAGGAAGCCTCTTCTGATTATCGGGCTCATGGCACCCCACATCTCTTTAAAAAGCTGCATGCAGCTGGAAGCCCTGACTGCATTGCTGAGCACCCATGGGAGCCACTCAGCTGAAGTGTCCAGCTTTGTGCTTCCCAGATGCCTCTTCCATGTGTGAAGCAGCCCATGCTTCTTCTAACTGCCTTTCCCTACAGCTTCTACCTGGGCTGCAGGACCGGGCAGGAAACCTGCAGGGATCCCCCACATTGGCAAGGTCCCAGCGCAGGTCCTGCAGCTAGTTATCATGTGATTTTATAACTAATCCCCCAAAACCAAGTGAGCTGCCATGTACATTTTGTATGGCATGTTGTATAACTTTGTGGTTGGGGTATAAAATTTCTCAGACCCCAGTTGTGTGACTACTTTACTTAAACATCTGCAACAGCCTTGGACACTGGAAGCCTCAAATCAGTGGGTTTCTTCTTTCCCACCCCTAAAATAAATAAGTGTAACCTGTGTGTCATTTGCTAATCTAGTCTTGAGGGATTTGGTTGATAGTACTTCAAAAATAATAATAAAAGCCATAGACTTAAAATCTTATATCTATTCTGAACTACTTGAAAAAAGCCTACTTCCCATATCCATATTCAAAAGTTCATATTAGTAATGTGCTGATAAAGTGAAAAGAGACCACTCTTATAAAAGATTCCAGCTCTTACTCTACAAATATACCCAAAGAAACGGCTTACAACATAAAATAAAGCACTGTCCCTTGCATTTGGAAGCTTTTGGTATATCCTCCCCTTTTCAACCTTAAAATATTGTTTTTTTTTTTTTTTTTTTATTATTATCAAATGCTTTTTGTCCGTAGGTCACATGTACTTAGAAGAGCCCTGTCTGCAACAGTGAGGACTAAAAGTTAAAGTATTCAGGAGTCTAACTTCCCATTCCAGGGGGAATTGGATTTATGTCTACAGATGTATTAGGAGCCTATAACTTGCCTAAGGACATGGTCAGTCAGCAGCAGAACCCAGATATTAAAGGGTAGCAAGGCTTTTTGGTATCTTGTAAAGCACAGTTCTGGGCAAAGAGCACTGATGGAGGTAATGTGTAAGGGAAAAGAGAATTGGATTGAATCAAGGGAGTGGGGAAGGCATAGGAAAAACAAGGTTGAGATTCAAACTAATGAGGAGTTTTCATGTTGTAGGGGAGTGGGGGGAACTGCCACTAGATCTGCAAAGAGGGAGGGAGCAAGCATGGAGACAGTGAAACCTCTTAATTGTAGCAAGTTGGATCAGTGAGGTTTTGTATATTGTTGCAGAGTAGTTGTACCTGCAACTTCAACCTAGAACCACCCTCTGTGCAGCTTGTGCATGGAGATAGTTGGCTTCAGAATAGCAGCAAAAAGTTCTCTCTCATTATAAAGTCTTTGTAGACTTCTGCCCATTAGTCTTTTCATGTGTTTTCATTCATTTGGTAGTATGAATATAGACTGTGTACACATGTTCAAATGATCTGGGCATGCTCTCTGAGGTTTGCTTTCATGGTAGAAAAACTTACCTGGAGACCTCCGAACAGCCCTTCAGTGCCAACTTGCTGCACAGCCAGGGGCTTCCTGTGTATACAGCTGAGTCTGCTCTGCTGGCTTCCAGTCTGTCTTGTGATGGATGACAGCAGTATACAGGGCAGCCCTGCTTGGCTCACCCAGACTGGTTTGCAGGCTGTCTACCTGCAGCACAATGAGGGGATTGTGAAGGGGTTCCCTGCTTGACTGGAGCAGTACAGCCCAACCCAAGTGACACACCATTTTCTCTGGACCTGTGAGGGGTGGGGAGAGAGCCTGGGAGCAAAGCATGCTGGGATACTGGAGAGCTGTGGTGCAGCTTCTCTCTGAATACTTTAGTAAGGCATAGAGGAAACCACCTAATTCATGGAATCCATTCTTTATCAAGTGTCTTACTGCTACCCTCCAGAAAGAACTCAATTTCTTCATGGTGATAAACTGTATGTTTCCAATATGCCTTACCAGTCTCTGTGTTGGTAGGCTGGTGCAGATCTAAATGTGCTAAACAACATGGGTGACACTCCTCTACATCGTGCAGCTTTCACTGGACGCAAGGTAAAATTTTCCGAGTTCCACTCTGGGGTTTGCAAGCTTTGTAAAGTTACCATGGCGTAAGATGCTTCTGCAAAGGGATGCTATAATGATTAAACAGAATCTAAAATGTTGCTTTATTTCTATTTTAATAATTTCTAACCAAAACATACAGGATATGATACTAAAACTTCATTTTTCTGAATAGAAGTCATATTTAAAATGCTGTCTCTTACCCACTTTAAATTATCTGCTGAGTAGATTCATCTTTAATTAAATACTCTCGTTATAATCCCCACCCCAAAAGAGGCTCATGGAAGCTTGCAATAAAAAAAAAAAGCACAAGTTATAAAAATAGATCTAGAAATACCAGAAGTAAATATTTAATGTGATTAATTATTCTAGCTCTTATTAAAGAAGCCATTTTGATTCCTAGGCTTTGCAGACCTACAAATATATCCAGATTTTTTTGGTTTGGGGTTTGTTTGTTTTTTTACTAGAGAACCACTTCTACATGGATATGTGGTCACATGCCAATATAAGGAAGTGTTATGTTTTTTCTGCGAGTGCCTAAACACCATAATGTTCCTTCACAGTACTGTTGCCGTCTACAGTCAAATGATCTTCTGTCTGGCTCTGCTGTGACATACCTGTTGTTAGGGCAGTAACCCATTATACAATTTTTAGGCTCACAGGGAAGGTTGCAAAAGAAAGCTGGATCAACCCAACTTTCAAACTTGTTTTTTCAATTGAAATTCATATTTTTTCAGTATACTATCAACTTGTTTTGTCAAAGACCAAACATCTCTCAACTTTTTTTATTTTCTAGGAGGTGGTGATGCTACTGTTGCAATATAATGCAGATACTTCTATTGTTAATGGGAGTGGACAGACTGCAAAAGATGTCACACATAATAAGGAGATAAGAAATATGCTGGAAGGTAACTTCCATATATCCTTCATTGTTTCTACATGTTTATAACTTTGAAGCAGCACTCCTTGACTCCAAGCTCACTTAAATTTGAAGTAGCTTCTAGTTCCATCATACAAAGCAAATGATGGTTAGTCTGTTGTATAATAATTCTCTGACAGGTCAATACAGCAGGTCTGCTTTGGGTTTTAAAATCTGGAATAACTTTAAGGCCCTAAGTTGTTTGTTATTTTTTATCAAAAGTAACACTTGGTGACAGGATTTTTTAAATCTCTTTACCCCTTCTAGTGGTATGGACTTTTTTCAAAGTATTGGCTTTGTATATTGGCATATTGGAAGGCAATGCCAGGAATGCTCTGATTTAACAAGAGCTTTGTGGTTTTTTGTTTTTGTTTTTCTTTTCTTTTAAAGATGTTATACAAATTCTAGAACTAGTACCTTGCAAACATGATGACTTAAGTGTCAGAATGAGTTGATGCCTTAGTTGAGAAGTTTGGGGTCTCTCCTTTTAAAAGCCAAGAAATAAAACTACAAATGGGTATCAAGTCTTGTTATTCTAAAGAGTGTGTGTATGGGGGAGGAGGGTTGAGTTTCTCTTTCTATAGTCTTTAAACACCAGCATCCAAGGAGACAAGCCAGATCACGTGCACGTCTTAGCTGATTTCCCCTTTCCATTCGCAGGCAGTTTCCTATTCAGTTAAATTTCTGCAGCTGCAGAAGATAAAAGAATCATTCAGAACCACTACTCGGAATGTTTCCCCACAGTACTGCAAGGCTCAAAATGAAGTCCATAACCATTACTCTATGGAAGTGTCTTGTACTTCTGGTTGTACAACCTGAGGTGACACAAAGGGACTTGATTTTGTGAGCAGGCACTCTGTGCTTTTTGTCTAAAGGTTCCTTTTCATCTAAAGGGATCAAGACGCATCAACCTAAGCATGTCTAAGTCAGTGGTGTCTGACCTTTTCACCCTGAGCGCTGAATGAGCAGTGCCAGGTCCACAAGCTGGATGTAGTCCATAGGCCTGTTCCAGCATGTGATGCTGACTTGGCTGGAATCCAGTTCGTCTGTGTAAGAAGAACTCAGCTAGGGCCTGATCCAGCTGTGCAGGGGTTGGAAACTTGGTGGCGGGGGAGTGGTGGCAGTTGTCATTGCTGCCAAATTTCCAGACCCTTGGAGAGCCCTGTGGGCCAAATGACATGGATCTGGCCCATGAGCTAGGGGTTGAGCATCCATGGTCTAAGTAATAAAACCAAATATTACCATTGGCTTTCTGCCATACCCCCTAGAAAAGCTTAGAACAGATACTTTTCACTGTTAAATTAGCACTGCTTGGCAAACACTTAAGTACTTGTGAAACTTGAGTAATTGTTAAAATATTTCTCAGCATTAGTTTGGCATTCTATACAGTTGTGTACTGCATTTTTAAAATGACCCTGAAGGGCATGGCTCCATAGATATCCATTACCCTGGCTGGTAATAGTCCTCAGATGAGTAAGCATCAAACTTCTTGAACCCTGCAATAAGGTACTTGAATGTTTTAAACCATGGATGTTGTGTGTTGTCCTTTGAGAGTATAATAGTGATAGCTAAAATGTCTGTGCTTTGACAACAGCAGTGGAGAGGACACAAGAAAGGAAACTGGAAGAGGAGCTTTTAGGAGCAGCAAGGGAAGGAGAGACTGGAAAACTCACAGCACTGGTAAGATTTTTTTGAGATGTTGCTTGCCCCTTATGGTGCTACTGCTAGGTGCAGAAGTAACATCTTTTCAGTATATACCCAGGATGTGTTGCCTGAAACGATATAAAGTACTGTATTCCAAAGTATTAGTACTCTGCTTTTTACTATCATTAAGGTGCTAAGATTTCAAGTGTTTTGACATCCTTGCCAAGTTAAAGGAAACTGCAGAGAAGTACTGTGTGGTGACTTGTATGTTAACTTCTCTTAGGACGTAATGGTAGTTCCTTGGTGCTAGACTGAAGTTACTATATTTAATGACAAGCAGGTGCATGCAAAATGAATCAACGCAATGTTAAATAAAGTGGCAAGTTCATACCACAAAACAAAATCTGCCTTTGCTGTATAGTACTATGCCTGCAGTCAGCAACAGATACAGATTCAGTCTCCAGGAGAAGCATTCTGGCAGTGCGAAGACTGAATTACCCAAGGAGCAAACTGGGCAATCTTGGAAGTTAATGTTCATATTGAATCAGTGCACATGAAGTTAATAGCCTTTTACCACTGGAAGTGCTGGCTTTTGAATGACACCGTAGTCTAGAATTTGTAGTATTGGTAGCTATTGTAGTTTGTTGTAATGTTTAAACAAGCTATTGTGTCTAAAAATGGCATAAATTTGTATTTAGTGAAAGAAACTACAGTACTTTCTTACCTTTTACCTGAAATAACTGTAAGAATGAATTCCCAAAGTAAGTCTCCCTCAGTCTGAAGTTTCATGCTTGGTTTCAGCTCTACTGGTATCTTTAGGAAAGCTGTAAGCCACTGGAAGCACATCTTGTCTCAGGGCTTTGAACTGGTTGATTTCATGGCTGAAATCCAGAAAAGTGTCTTTTACTGTCAAGATTTACTTAAGGTTCTTTGCATGGGTTTGTTTTTAAAAACTTTTCTAGAAAGTCATTGTCTAGCTCAAGATTGGCTTTAAAGGTAACATGCATTCTAACAGCAGTTCTGTTTTTTTTCTTTTTCTTTTTATTTATTGGAACTTCTGGAATACCTGAAAGAGATGTTGGGGGAAAACTCAGGCAGCAGCTGCCCTTCATCAGATCTGAGAAAAGAAGCAGTATAGTCTGTGCTTAGTACAAGTTTAAAACAATTGCTTTAGTTTTAACCTAATTTTGATAATGAATTGACTACTTGGAAGGGTAATAACCAGTGACAACTGACAATTTAAATCTCAAATTGGTCAAATGAAAGACTTCCTTACCTCGCACATCTTGCACCTCGGGTTCTGGGACAACCATTGTGGCTATACCAACAGTATCAATTCTGATTGCAAAATAATACCATGTTTTACCACTGAAATACAGCCAGCCTGTTGCAGGGTACGTTTTATGCTAGAAGTTAGAAGGGTAAAGTAAGCTGAATTATAGGAAACACCTCTACTTGTAATTGGGACTCTTGCTTGGCAGCTGAGCACTCCTCCATCCTGTTGCATGATTCCTTTTTGTCACTCTCTTCTGCAGTGTCAGACTCCTGTTTATGAGTTTTAGCCAGCTGCTGTGGTGTAGAAAAACTAACCATTAAGTAATTTTTTTTTTCTTAGTTAAACAAGCCAAAGCCTCCTGACATTAACTGTACTGATCAGATGGGCAATACACCATTACACTGTGCAGCATACCGTGCCCAGAAGCAGTGTGCCTTAAAACTTCTAAAAAATGGTGCAGACCCAAAAATAAGAAACAAAAATGGTAAGTAATCAACAAAAGCTCTTGTAGGGTAAAAATGAAGCACAGACTGTACCAGTGTCTCCTAACAGCTTCATTGTTAAGCAGTGGCTAACAAAGTATTCTGGACTCTGTGGTTCTCCTCAAGCAGTGTAAAAATTCGTTAGGTTTTTTTATTAAGCTTTTGAGGATGAATTTAGAATTGTTACTGTAATTTCTCCTTAAAAGCCCATCGGCAACATTTGTCTCATCACTCCAACAAAGTGACACTTAGCCCTGACTAAATTGCACGTAACTGAGTAGTGGTAAGTACTGACTAACATAAAACAAGGCTAATGTAATTTTACTGCAGCCTTGCAAAACTTTAAAGTTGCTTACCTTAATTTAATACTGTTTTTATCCGTCAAGCAAAAATTTCTCCAGACAAGTGATTTTTAAAATGAATCTTGAAAGCCAGGAATGTTGGTGTAAGAAACGTGGGTCTTCAGAAAGTGCCTCTAGTATAAGAAGTTGATCTGGGGAGACGGTAACATTAGGTTGTGATTAACTTACAACTCTTCTGTTAGCTGCTCTTTTTGTACATTGTTTTAAAACTGATTCCCTTTTTTGCATAGACGCATTCAAATATGAGTAACTATTGCATAATACAGTTTTTTTTTTGGGGGGGGGGGTTGTTTTTTCCTTGTGAATAGCTGCAGTAGATATAGCTCAGTTCTTGGGTTTGGG